AAGTGCAATTTTGTCTAATATTTTTGCTATAGTAAGAAAGTGTCTCGTTATAGCAAAAATCTTTTGCTTTAGCAAGAAATGATTCACTGTAGTGAGGAGTGTTATGAGTAATCTCTCGCTGTAGCGAGCAGTGAGAATGTCGCGATTCTGAAATTATTTAAGAATTTTCATACATGAAAACTTCATTTTTTTTTCTCTTTTTCTCACGTCTAAACTTTGTTTCTTTGAATTCTCTTTATAATTTCTTAGATAAAATTTCTTAAAACACTGATTTCTTCCCATATTCATGATTACCCAATCGTTTCACACGATCCTAAGTAAGTTTCCCTAAGTTTAATTATGTTTTTATCGTTCGTTTACTTTGAATCTTGTTCTTAAGGGATAAATTCGTGTTGCCTAGGTATATAAATGCCATTTAGGAACGTTCTTCATCATCAACGCCTATTTAGATCTTCACTGTAGAGTAAGGGAAACTCTTTTACTATTATATGTTATAGGTTATATGTTAAGCTCAGAAGAGCATGTTTATATAGCATTTTCTAATGATATATGCTCGAATAATAAATATTAATGAAGAAAGATTGTTGTTATGTATATGTTTAAATGTTTGGTTGATTGATTATACTATGCTCATATGAAATATATGATGATAAAGTATAAAATTATGGTTGAGCAAGTTTTGATGATATTTAATGAATGCATTGAATATGGTATGACTTTGTTGTTGAGAAATATATGAATATGATGAATAAGTCATTGATAATTTATTAGAGGATATGATTATTGAGATCATGAATTAGTGGTATAAGCAGTATGAAATTAGTCTAGAAGTGCTATTAAGTCATGATCTTGTGATTGAATTGTGGAATGAATATGAGAACTGAATGAATTTGGTATAAATAGTTACAAAGATACACTGGAGGTATAGAGTCCGGAGACGATAGGATATCTAGGGGAAACATAGGCGTCACATGGCCTCACACTCGCTTTCCAATTAGACTCCTGACTATGTCTTTACTAAGAGGTCTTTTACTGTATATGTTGTATCCGTGCGCATGGGCTAACTGGTGACTATTAACATGATTGACTAAGACATCGAGAACTATTAGAGGCATCGAATGACTGTAATCATAGTGCACTTAAAGTGCGAAATTGAGAATGAAAATGTCAATAAGGTTGTGTGAACATGTGTGATTATTAACATATATGATATGTGGTATGAATTGATGCTTAATTGTATAATTATAATATTGTTGTGATATCTCTATGTTATATTTGAAAAATGGAATAAATGTTCACCCTTACATAACCCTGCAGATAATAAAGATAATGACATGTCTTGTGCGGATTAGCATAGTAGATGTTTATATAGTAGAAATTAAATTATATTTTTAGAGAGTATAAACATGTAATACATTTGAATTTTAGAGTGTATTTTGAGGAAGATCAGGAGTATACATTAGAAATAGTTTATAATTATGTAGTTTCTTTTGATTTTTCCACTAGTGGTTAAATTCATCAGTCTCTTAGTTTTTGTCTATATCAAGAATAGAAAGGTATTCTCGAATCATAAATAATGTATTTACCTATCATGATCATGATTTGTTAGAAAGGTCAAACAGTTACACATTTGAAATATTCTCTAGTATAGAGATGGTGACGGACTCTGGTGACGCCTATCTTAGGGAGGATGATGAATTAACCACTGAGGATTTGGCAGAAATTAAGGGCTGACATGATATAGATGACTAATTTTCAAATCCTCAATATAGAGGAATGGGCATGAACTGCTGTAAAACTTTGATATATTTTGGATAGACATATAAATGTAATACATTATGTTGTAATTGAGATCTTCCAGCATGTAAATATTGATCTACAGTATATCATATGTAGTTATTTTCTTAAATTTGTCTCATACACAAATTGACTAATACAAAAGGTTTTATATCAGTAAATTTTAATTAATTATTATAACGAAAGTTTGATTATTCTTTAAAATTCTTTATAAATTTATTTTATTCAAGGTAAAGAAATGTAGGGTGTTACACTGAATGCCCTCCTCATGTGCAATTCTCCTAAATGCAGACAATGTGCTCCTATATGGCACAACACCAGGTCTCATTCCTCGGGTTTGCATTAAAAAAGATAGCAAACTTATAGTGCACAACACACATATGAGCACTGATAAGTGATAATAAGGTAAAAGAAACCCTATAATTCTATTGTCTTTGGTTTCAACAAAAATATATGCAAGACAAAGTTCATGAATACTAAAACAAGGCAAATTTGTATAATTATCATTTATCAATGCTTTAACATTCATAAAACCCTGCTCTTAAATAAATAACACAATCTGCCCACAACAAACATATTTAAATTAGCTATTTTATGTGTACATTTTTTTTTCCAATTCACTAGACAAAGGTTGTGCTATCTTGCATGGAGATCAAGCGTGTCAACATTCAAGTTTCCAGTCTCTAGTCCATCAGGTATAAGATTTGGAATAACAATACACATGTGTTTTGTTTTGAGAGAAAGAGAGTTAAAGGGCATAAGATATTTGAGATATCAAAACTTGTGACAGAAAGAGAACAAGAGGAGAGAATGAGGGGTTGGGACAGTTGAAGGGGAATAAAAGGGGAAGGAAGGAGGTTGGAGGAGGGGACTCGTGACTCTAGGGACGAATGAGAGCTACGAGAAAAGGAGACAAGACTAGTGGGTTAAGAGGAAAGATATGGGGAGTTGTGATAAATGTAAATTTTATTAGGTTTTTATGTAGTTTTCTAGGTTATTTTTGATAGAAAATGTAATTTGAAAAGTGAAAACTGCACAAAAATATATAAATGTTTAACAAAGTAAATTGTTGTCTTTAGTAATTCAAATTATGTAAATTTGATAGAATTCTGATGTAATTTTGTTAGTTTTGCAGGAGATTATAAGGTAAAAGTCTTGAGGATAAGGATTAAAGAAGAGAAAGTAGAAGAAAGTAGCAATTTTAGAGACAAAGATCAAGGATTAATGAATCTAGTTGTTGGGTGTGATCACTATTTTAAAAAAAGTGATCATTCCAGAGCCTAATTTCAAGGACTGACTTGTGCGTTACTACTTTTTCTAACAATAGTAACCACGCCCATGAAGAAAGATCCTGCGTGATCACTATTTCTGATAATAGTGATTGTTCCAAAGCTGGGGTGAGAAGAACAACTTGTGCGTGCTTACTATTTTTTAGCAAAGTGAACACACGCAAGTCTGAAAAGAGGAATAAGCTGCGTGTGATCACTATTTTTCAGTAAAGTGATCACGCACATGAATAAAGAGTAAAACAAGTTGCGCGTTGTTACTTTTGTCAATAAAAGTGATTGTTCCAGAAAGCATTTCAGAAAAACAAGTTGCACGTGGCTCCTTTTGTCAATAAAAGTGATCATGCACATACTATTTTAGGCAATCCATCTCTGCGTTGCTACTATTATAAACAAAAGTGATTGTTCTAATCATGAAAGTTACAGGAAGGCTTCTGCGTGGTTACTTTATTTTATAAAAGTAACCAGGCCAGAAAGGCAGGAAATCTATAAATATAATATTAGCTCATAAACTTGCAATCTTTTCTCATTTTTCATTTCCACATCTTAGGAGAGTTAGAGAGGGAGATTGTGGTCGACTTCCAAGCTCTGGACCTTGAGGAATCAGGCTGGAGATTGGATTTATGAAGAAATTCTATAGCTCCTCTTCTTCTACTCTTTCTCTCTCTTTTACTTTTAGGACATGTTCTGATTTCTTTTTCTTATGGATTGATGGATTCGATTTTGTTATTGTAAGATGTTGATTGTATTGAACGTTTAATTCTTTCTTTAATGCAATTCTTGAATTATCTATTCAATTAAATTGAACCTAGAGGATTTTCATCAATGGAAGTTGAGTTAATTTCTCAAATCTAATTGAATGTCAAGGTTATGAATATCTTAAGGATAAGAATTCGTGATCTTATAATCTCTTAATTTCTAATGCCTAATGCAATGTTTTGACTGAATTACACCTAAGGAATTATGGTACTTTAGTTAAATATTAGGATCAATGAGGCAAATGATTGTCCTTTGATTAAATAAGTGAAATTGATCATCAATCAATTAAAGAACTTCGAGTTCAGATCTACTTCAGTTTTACAAATGATAAAGAGGTGAAATCAATTCTAACTCTATTCACACATCATTTTATTTCTAAATTCGTCACTCTATTTTACTTAGCATTTACATTTTACTGCACCTTTTTTTTAGTTCTTAAATAATTCAAAACACTTCAAATTTTGTTTGGCTCAACTAGTTATTGATTTGTGAAGTGGTAATTGATAGAACTAATCCTTGAAGACGATACTTAGGACTCAAACTAAATTTCAAATTTTATTACTTGCTACAACTATCTAGTACACTTGCTAGTTAGTGTTCTCTCAGTTTTGTGACAAGCTGCAATAGAAGGAAGGGAAAAGGGAAAGTTTCACAAATTTTTAAAGACAAAAGTCTAGGTTAGATTAAATATATTATATTATAACCATTTTAGCATTACTTAAAATATCTTTATTAGGTCATATAATAGAGTTAATGTAAAAAAAATTTAAAGAAAAAAATGAATAAAAAAATTAGAAGATGAAAATGAATTTTGTTCTAAAGTTAAGAGATGAAAAAATTAATTATACTATTTTTTATTATTTAATTTTTTATTCTTATAAGTAAATATTGATAAATTTATTCAAAATCAGCTTAAAATTAAACAATTTTATAAGTTAAAAAAATAATTAAACATGAAAATTAATATCTAGATGGTTGAATTCGATATAGTTTACTGGATGGATCTCTTTCGTAGTTTTTTAACATTACCAAAAAAGAAAAGACGTGTATTTTATTTTCAGTTTTTGAGAATAACGATTACTTCAATTTTTATTTTTTTTAAATCTTAAATGTTTGTAACGATTTGTATAAATTTTGAACCATGGCATATAAATGGATATGTCACCGATGTGCTCCCTCTCCCATTTCTGACTCCCAACATCCATTTCGCCGTAAACAACAGTTCTTGTCGAAGCTGAGAAGGAAGATACGGTGGTTGGGGCGGAGGCAGCGTTAGCGAAGGTGGAGAAGAAACGTCACAATAAAAAAGGAGAGGGAGAAATCAGAGAAGGCAGTAATTAAAAACATCATATGTTGTAACTGTATCAACTCACTCCATGGCCGTTCCCAAACCTCGTCCCTCTTTCCTCTCACCGCAATTCGCTGCACCTTTCTTCCGTCGTCTCTCTTCGAGCCCGAGCCCGAGCCCGAGCCCAAGCGGCGACGAAAAGGATGCGGAATTGGTGTCGAATCTGCTCCTCCAGCAACACAACCCCTTCCACGCTACGGAGTCGAGCCTCCAACTGCACGGCATCACACTCACACCGAATCTCCTTTTCCAGAGCCTCCTACGCCTCAAACACCACTCCAAAATCGCACTCTCTCTCTTCAACTACTCCAAAACCCTCCCTAACCCTCCTCTCACCATTCCCTCTTACAACCTCCTCATCGACATCATGGCCAAGGTTCGCCAATTCGACGTCGCTTCCCAACTCATTGTCGAAATGCACCAACGCAACCTCTCCCCCACCCCTTCCACCTTCCTAATCCTCATTCGCCGCCTCATCTGCGCTGGCCTCACGCGCCAAGCCGTTAGAACCTTCGACGATATCGACGCCTTTTCCGATTCCAAAACCACACCCGACCACTTCTGCCTTTTGCTCGACACGCTCTGCAAATACGGCCACGTTAAACTCGCCGTCGAGGTTTTCAATAGAAACAAACGCGACAATAGGTTTAGACCTAACGTGAAAATGTACACCGTTTTGATTTACGGGTGGTGCAAGCTGGGGAGGGTTAAAACGGCACAAGCGTTTTTGAAGGAGATGCTGGAGCTGGGGATTGAGGCTAATGTTGTTACTTATAATGTGTTGTTGAATGGGGTTTGTAGGAGGGTGAGTCTGCATCCCGAGGAGAGGTTCGAGAGGACTATACGGAATGCTGAGGAGGTGTTTGATCAAATGCGTGAGAGTGGGATTGAACCCGATGTGACGAGTTTTTCCATCGTGCTTCATGTTTATAGCCGTGCGCATAAGCCCCAGTTGTCGCTTGATAAGTTGAGGTTGATGAAGGAGAAAGGGATATGTCCTAATGTCGTGACATACACGTCGGTTATTAAGTGTCTTTGTTCGTGCGGGAGGCTTGACGATGCCGAGGGGTTGCTTGATGAGATGGTGAGGAATGGAGTGAGTCCGTGTGCCGCCACTTATAATTGTTTCTTTAAGGAGTTTAGAGGGAGGGACGATGGAGACAGCGCTTTGAGGTTGTTCAAGAAGATGAAAGATGATGGGTTGTGTCCGCCAACTTCACACACATATGGCATTTTGATGAGGATGTTTTTGAGGTTGAACAAGATTGGGGTTGTGAAGGAAATGTGGAATGATATGAAGGAGACGGGGGCCGGGCCCGATTTGGATTTGTATACCGTTTTAATACATGGGTTGTGCCAAAGACAAAGTTGGAAGGAGGCTTGCCATTTTTTTGTTGAGATGATAGAGAATGGGTTTCTCCCCCAGAAAGTTACCTTTGAGATCCTCTACAAGGGCCTAATTCAGTCTGATATGTTGAGAACTTGGAGGAGATTGAAGAAGAAGCTTGATGAAGAATCAATAACCTTTGGTTCTGAGTTTCAGAATTATCAACTAAAGCCGTATAGAAGATAAGGTATTACTCATGAGGTACTTTAGTTTTGTGACTAATTATGTACAGATTATGTCTGATGTTCAATTGTTCCATATCGTTATTCACTTTTTGGTCCAATTTACATGTAAAAGGATTACTTAAATAAATTAATTTTCTATGGAGATGTGGAATATCTATAAATCCTTAAAAGCTATGAAATGTTGAAATTGAGTTTAATACTAAATGGTTCTCTCTGTTATGTGTTTTCAAAAATCAAACTTCTTAGTCTGGAATACTAATAAATAAGTTAGAAACTCAGATTACACCTCTATATCTGCATGTTGACTGGCATTAATTTGTGGTTTGATGGAATGGCATTTGTTTCATTTGAAACTTTCTCTATTCATTTGCCTGTCATAATGTCATGTTTTTCATTTTATTTGAGACTAGAAATGCTTTTCCAAGCGTGTCCCTTAAACATACAATTTGGTCCCAAAGGTGCCCGTGCCCTCTACTATTTGGTTTCTATTGGAGGTGCTACCAATTCCATGAACGCCAGGCTCCTTGTTTAAGATGGGTCATGCTTTTATTGATAATGGTAAAATAGCACCCATGTTAATACTTTACGAATTTGTTCAATCAGAGAACTAGAGATGAGAGTAGTCTTGGTTCAACTAGTTAACCAAGTGATTAAATCTGTTGATATTATAAATATATTTAAAATTAATTATATAATTTATAAATGATTATCTAAAAATACCATTCACTATCACACAAATATTTCATTACAGTAAACACATTATAAAAGATAATATTAAATTTAATGAAAATTATGAAATTAAAATAACCTTTGTGTGCTCTAAAAATTAGTGTCTGCACAAAATGACTCTAATAAGTTTGCCTAGCGAACCCACAAAAGGCATACAGGGGTGAAATTGAATAGGCTAGCTTAATCTACTGCTCCACACAATCATGAATGACAACAGAAAGCAATTTGTCAGTAACCATTATTACCATTATTAAGTGCTAGACTGTTCAATGATAGATTGTGATGGTTAGGTTAGATAAGCAATAACTACAAAACTGTGTAAGAAGTTCCAATGGAAGTTTTCTTCTGTTTCTCTCTTTATGTACTTTTTCTTTGGTCTGGTGCATTTATTTGGTGCTGTACTCATTCACCCACTGCCATCTTGTAGTTCTCTGTCCCTAAATCCGCATCACCTACTCTTGCAAAGCTGGCTTCACTCACTGTCATCACCTACACCCTACTTTCATCTACAGACCTTCAGACAGGCTATAAAACCAGAGAGAAGAAAAAAGGAGAATCATTTTACTTTTCTTTTAGGGAGGGAGGAAATTCAAGAGAATTAAGACTAGGGGCTGGGACGGATGGAGCATAAGAGAAAGGGAAGGGAAGGAAGCATTTGGAGTAAGGAGGAAATTCGGGCATTTCTTGGGATGAGCAGAAAGGAGGATGAGCTGAGAGAGGAAGCATCCAATTTAAAAAGAGGTATTTTAAAATGAGAGAAAGTGAGGCTGGTTGCATAAATGCTGAGGAAATGAGGGATCAAAGACCCCTGCTGCTGCAACAGGATTATCCCATTAATTCATCTTGAAGAGGTTGGATTCATGGGTAATGCCCAGAATTGCCTTTTCCATTGTTTTCTTCACCTTAAAAATGAGTAAAAGGGGTAACGGTTGACTTGATTGTGTTTTAATGTGTGCATTGACAGTAATGAAATTTTTATTGTTCTGGGTCATTTCCTCAATTTGATTTTGGTGATGCACATAATTTGATGTAAGGCAAGAACAACAAAACCTACTTTTAGGATGCTAGATATCTGATTTATTACCTGTGAATGTAAGCATTGTCTGGATTTTAGGTTTACATGATTGATGGTGGCCCTTTTTATTAATGTATATGCAGCCTTGGGTTGATTGTATCTTGATCTAACTTAATCTTGACAAATTGCCAAAAGATGCCCGTTGTATACTAAAGACAATTTCCTTAGACATGGTCAGACAGTGGTATTCTGAAAGTTTGCAGTTTTATAGTCACTTTCATGAAGCCATTTTTCTTGCCTATATAGGTTCTCCATGAATCTGTTTGGAAGGGGGTTTAGGGAGGAAAGAGGAAAGCATCTCTAGGTAGTGTTCCCTTGTTTGGGAGATTTTTTTGAAAAGAGGGCAATGGTTTGAGAACTTTTAATAAGCCTCTAAAACCCCCTTGTACGCATTTTCTGAGTTTTCCTAAATTAGAGGTGGGGGTTTGGAGTAAGAAATAATTAATTTATCCATGTGCCCCTGCCAAAGTTTTCTACACTACAATTTTTGAATTCATACTCTCCCTCATTGTTCTGATCCAAAAACTAGAAACAGTAGCACATGTTCTCTCTGTGCTCTCATCTTATTTTATCATGCTCTCTCACTGTGTATGTCCAGATCTTAAACTATTGTTTGTAAAAATGTTATTCGGATATGTTTCCAGTTGTTCTGTAGTTTCTGTAAACATATTCTAGTTTCTGATGCATCCTCTCCTTTGCAGCACTTTCTCATATTACGCATTGTAATAAAGAAATTGCTTAATTGTTTGCTTGCTCATTTTTTGAATAGTGAAGAGAGAAATTGAGATAGAGGGTGAGACAAGACATAGAAGCAAGGAAAGGAGCCTGTCAAAGTCTTAAAGATGATTGATAGGAAGGTAAGAAATCCAATACGTATCTTGTTCCTTCTCAAGAAGAAAGGAAAGGAAGGTAAGAAATCCATAGACATAGAGGTTGAGATGAGACATAGAAGCAAGGAAAGGAGCCTGCCAAGTCTTAAAGCTGATTGATAGGAAGGTGAGAAATCCAATACGTTTCTTGTTCCTTCTCAAGAAGAAAGGAAAGGAAGGTAAGAAATCCATAGACATAGAGGGTGAGGTGAGACATAGAAGCAAGAAAAGAAGCCTGTCAAGTCTTAAAGCTGATTGATAGGAAGGTAAGAAATCCAATAAGTTTCTTGTTCCGTCTCATTTTAAAAATGCCTGTAATTTCTGAGTTGTTGTGAATTTTCTTTTAATTCTGTTCTGAATTTCATAACTTTGTTCTGACAGTTTTCCTTGGTTGAAAACATGCTGAATGACATTTTGCTTGTAAGGTTTTTCTTCCTCTAAATTTTTTGCTCTGGTAATTTATGCACTCATGCTTTCAAATTAAGATTTTGAGTCCTTAGATTGATCATACTTCTGAGTACCAAGTGATTGTTTTATTTCCCCTTTAGGTCCCAAGTCAAAATATTAATTACTAACTTGTGAAACTTCCTTTACTGAGATATTTAAACATGGTCTTGCATATGGAAAATGTTGAAGTCTTTTGATTATATTTTTATTCGAAGGGTATTCTAACGTTCCTAGTTCTGACATAATCCTGTAAGTTTATGGTTTTAAAGCATATCTTTCATTATTCTGGTTGCTATTTAGGATGCACAAAGTAAGGACTCAGCTTTGGTATATAACCATGGAACATGGTATGCAACTTTACAGGTTATACTTTTGTATAGATTATAGACCCAAGAGCCATGGAGTCTTTTCATGATATTAATCCAAAGCATGATATATTGTTCTGAGTCTTATATTTATTTTTTTTAATATTTAAAATTTGATATTTAGTGATAACTTGGTGAAATTCCTTGTTTGGCTGTGTTTGAATCAACGTTGTTAAAATCGAGATCTTAATCGTAAGATAGTGCGATCTTATGATTTCTCTCCTACCTTACGATCTTAATCGGAAATAGGACTGAAAATCGTCAAGATAGCGTAGGATCCCGATCTTTTTCCTTTGGATCATCCGATAGACAATCTGATTTGATTTTCGCGACACTTGGGTTTGTAGGCGGGTTTTCGCGACCCAGTTTTTAAAAACATCTTTCTAGGGCAGTTTTGACCCCATTTTGGACTTTTGTTCTTGTGTGGCGACGCCTCTTCCATCTAGGTCTCAATTTTCTCTCATTTTTTTTTCTATTTTGAAACAACCGTTGCACATTACTGTTATTTAAAGGTTTGGGTTGGTTTCTGTGACTTCTATAATGTGTGTGTTCTCTGTTCTTTCTCTTCTTTTTTCCATTACTTCTATACTATGAGTGTTCATTGTTTAGTGTTTGTAGTTCTGGTTTGCAGTTCTATGTGGGGGGTCTCAGTTCTATCTAGGCTTGGGCGGGTCTCAATTCTTCATTTCTCTTTTATTTTTGTTCTTTCAATTTTTGCATGATGTTCAATATTAGAAATGAAGTTGGTAACAGTGGAAAAAAAAAAAAGACATTCAGTCAAGTGGAGCTGCAAGGAATGAAATTGCCGTTAGAAGTAGAACTTTAAGATCAAAATCAAACAACAATATTGCTGAAACAATAAATGATGTGGCATGGAATCACGATGTTTCTTTGTTTGGAGATGCTAGAAGATTTAAATGTAAATATTGTAAGAATGAATCAAACAACAATACTCTTAATGTTCTCCACAATATTTGGAGAACAATGGTGGGCTTTTTTGCTAAAGTATGGTAAATTTAAAAACAAATTATCAAAATAGGGTTCATACAAAATATTTTTCCGATCTAGGATGATTTTTACTACGTCATGTTAAGTGTCGTCCCTTATGTAGCCAATATTTATTTTTTAATAATAAAAAAAAAGTATCGTCTGTGTATATGCCGATACTCATTTTATATTATTACAAAAATAATATTACGAAAGGAACAATCACAAGTTTCCTTGGTGGCATTGATCTTTGTGATGGGAGGTATGATACTGAAGAACATCCTCTATTTTCAACTTTAGACAGAGTCCATCATGATGATTTCCATCAGCCAAACTTCCCATGCGCTTCCATCAAGAAAGGTGGTCCAAGAGAGCCATGGCATGCATTCACTGCAAGCTAGAAGGACCCATTGCATGGGATGTTTTGTCAATTTTCAGCAAAGGTGAGAGAAGCAGGTTAGAAAATAGTTCCTACTCCCTTCAAGCATGCTTGATGATTATCTTCTCCCTCAATCCACTGTGGCAACGTCAAATGAAAATGAAGTATGGAATGTTCAGTTATTCAGATCCATTGATGGTGGTGCTGCTTTTGGCTTCCCCCAAGACCCAGAAGAGGTAGCTGAATTTGGCCTTGTTAGGGTTCTTACAAGTTACATAAAATTCATAATATTATTTTTTTAATAATAAAAATTAAGTGTCCGTATATACACAGACGATACTTATTTTTTTTATTATTAAAAAATAAGTGTCGGCTTTTATGTAACTGAAATTCAATATTTTATTATTAAAAAAATAAGTGTTGGCTACACAAGGGACGACACTCAACATGACGTAGCAAAAATCACTCTAGATCGGGAAAATATTTTGTATGAACTCTATTTTGATAATTTATTTTTAAATTTACCATACTTTGGCAAAAAAGTTTCAATGGTGATAAACTCCTCCAATATTTTTATTCTTAAAATACTTACATTTAATTCTTCTAGTATCTCCAAAAATAGAATTATCATGGTTCCATGCCACATCATTTCTTATTCCAGTATTGTTTAATTTTGATTTCAAAGTTCTATTTCTACCAACAACTTCACTTCCTACAGCAACACTTGACTTAATCCTCTTTCCTTTTCTATTGGTACAAATTTTATTTCTAATATTAGATGCCATGTAGAGATGAAAGAACAAAAATAGAAAATAAATGAAGAACTAAGACCCACTCACGCAGAACTGCAAACATTGAACCACGAACACTCACAATATAGAATTAATAGCAAAAAAAAGAAAAAGAATAGCGAATACCAATAGTACATAAATTGTAGACATCAAACTCAAACCTACAAATAGCTGTAGTACACAGGTAGAAGAGGCTCGTCACACAATAATAGAAGTCCAAAATGGGGTCAGAAACTATCCTAGAAACAATTTTAAAAATTGAGTTACGAAAACTTGATCTAGAAACCCGTGTCACAGATCAGATCGTCAATCCTAATGAGAAAGATTGGGAATCTACGCGATCTTACCGGTTAAGATCGCAGGGTGGGAGAGAGATTGTAAGATCGCGATTTTAACAACATTGGCATAACCTATGAAATTTGAACCATATGATTATGTAGCTTTTCTTCAAATCTTACTTGTCCTTTCCCATTAAATTTGAATCAGCATTGAACCATTGTGATATCGCTTATAGAATCCTGTTTCAAAATCTCACATGCACTGAACAGAATCAAAATCTGATTATTTTATAACACAATGCCAAATTATTTTTTGAGTGAAACAAGTTGATAAATTCTACCTTTTCTTTCATTTGGAATAATAAGACTATGGAATGGATATATACGTGAAGGCCTGAAGTGGAGTTTAGGGCAGTTTCAATTTGAAGCACAACTGAGCATTTTCATCACTTTCTCTCTCTTCTGTCCTTCAGATCTCCCTTGGCTTCCTCAGCTCACTGAGGCACTATCTTTACCACTTGTTTTGGATTGCAGCTCTGTTCACTTGTTAGGTTATTTAGCTGCAGCAACCAATTCACAAAATCAATTTCACCTTTCAGTAAGTACCCTGTCTTTAGTTAGTTTGATTACATATTTTGATTAAGAATATGTGACTTGTGGCTAATATTTATTACTGGTGATAATTTGTAGTTATTAGTCTCAATTGATATTTGGATTTTGGAGTTTTGACCATAATGCCGGATAGCCTGCCACTCTGATTTACAAGGATTTTGACTATGTTATTGAACTTGTAGTGATTGGCAATTTGGAAGCATGCCAGGACTTATTATGATTGGCACCATAGCCCACGTTGAGATAGTCATATTTCATGTAGAACTTCCAAGTGGCTAAAGACTCTCATAAATTAGTGCCACCTTCTGTGTATGAGAATGTTGGCACAAACGTTCTTCTACTGTGTTATGTTGACAAAATTGCTTGGCTTGTGATGTTCCCATGTTTTGCATTGAAACTTAGTTTGAAATAATTGCTCTCGTTATGTCGATAACATATCTTCCTTTTGAATACGTCTAGATTGATATAGAAGCTGTCCAAATTTTCTAATTGTGTTCTGTGCGCCTTTAAAATCTTAATTGAGGATATTGAATAATATATTGCCTTCAGTTCTGTTCGTATTAAATTGTCAATATATTGCCTTGAGTTATTGTTACATAGAAACACCAACTAGTCTGTGTCCGAATCCTTTGCGTGTTGAGATCTATCCCTTTGGAAGTAGGGTGTGAATGTATAGCTTTGATATAAAACCAAACCAATTGGGTAGTCTTTTAAACTATACACTTCGGTCCAGCAGTTTCATTTTATATACTTGGCAATTTGGTGTCTGGCATAAGGCTTTTAAGATTAAAAAAACATATGTTCTTGGATTTACCTTTGTAATGTTTCTCCAGACGGACTTGTTTCGACACGTCTAAGGTTAAATTTATATAAGTTTCTCAGTATGAGTAAACAAGTAAGTAGTAAAATAAATCATAGTTTTTTCATAAGTTAAAATTAGTTTGTGTTTTTTCTACTTTTTAAAATCTCTTTCATTTATTTTTTCTAAAATTTGAAGAAATAATTTGTATGTAATTTATAAAAGAAGTTTTACTTATTTTTATATTGATTTTTTTTATTAGAATTTTTCTAAAATTTACTTAAACAAAATAAAATGCAAATTGACTCTTTCTACATCAAAAGTTGGATTTGGTTACTTTTGAACAAAATAAAATAAAATGCAAATTGATTGAATTTAATAGTGTTGGGTTGGATTGGGTTTTCCGAAAATTTTCAACTATTCATTTGGGTTGCATTAGATTATCACAACAATGAGCTCACAGGCCATTTGACTCTTTCTACATCCAAAGTTATGACTATTTGAAGATAGTAGCGGAATTGGGATAAGACATAGGAGTTAATCGTGCATTACTTGATAAATGTAATTATGCTAACATTAATGCATTAGATTTTATCAAAACATTACTGTTAAGCGCGCTTGACCAGAGCAATTTAGAATGAGCGACCTTTTGGGAAGTCTTGCATATCTTTTTTACCCCCACCCCAACCGCTCTCTCCAAGGCCATATGCTTTATTGCCTTACATGCCCGATATACTATCATCAGTGCACGAGACATAAGATGTGAGTCCTACTTTATATCTATGCTTTTCTTTCTACTTTTCCTGCCAAACCAAATCATAGAAAACATCTGGAAAATTGTTTTCTTCCTGAGTTTTCTTTCCTCTAATTTTCCTTGATTCCAAACAATGTGTTAAAATTTATAAGAATCAACACATCTCTAGACTTTTTTCTTCCTAAATTAATCTTGAAGATACATAGCAGTAATCAATTATGTCGCCACTTTAAATATTATAAAAGTGAATTTAATGATGTTTAAAATATATAAACAATTAATTAGAAATAAAAATTTTAAAAAATTAATGTAGTAGCAAATAACTTTGAAAGATTAACTTGATTATTTATTCTTAATTTAATGATAGTAGGTAGAGTAAAAGTTTAATACCTATGTTTTAGTTAGGGCATTACTAATTGGACTATCATTAATATACAATACAAAAAGACTATCATATTACAACCATTTACTCTCTTAATTGACGATGTTTTATTTAGTCATCCAACTTGTGTTACACAAGTGCACACCATAATTTCTCTTGACATTTATTAACTTACCTGTTTGTTTTAAAATTGGATGTAATTATTTTTAATAAAACTATTTTTAAATCACCAATATAATTAAAATATACATCCAAATTAAAGTCAACCACACACTTCAAGCAAAATCGCATGCATAATGAACGAAATGATTCTGAAAGTAAAACAGACAAGCCGTTATACAAACATACCGGGCTAACTCTGGCTTCCAATTTCTACCGTCGCAAATTTTAGTTTACCAAATAGAGGAAAAATAGAAAAAGTCAAAGAAACTGCAGAAGAATGTTAACCATTCTTTACTTAAGAGTCCAACTGTATTATGCTTACACAATAATTACACCTCTATTTTGGTTCCTTATTCTAATGGAAGAAACAAAAGAACGAAAAAAATGAAGGGAAACAAGTTACCCAATTTCAACATTGAATGAACTGGGTCAGGCTTTTACATATAATTACATCTGTAAGTGAATGGTAAAGGGAATATTCTGCCCTTGTCGATATCTAATCAACAATCTAAACTATCAACGTGATTACATAATGGTACAAATTTCATTATAGTGTGACAATATCTGTTTCTAAGACCATGGTCAAGATTCTGACTACACAGCAAATACAGGTATGGTCAAGTCATGTCATGTCAAGTCCTCTTGAAAAATTTACCACCTTTCTTTCCCATTGTTATCCCCACAAGACTAGAGGGCAAAAGATATTTATTATCTGGCCTCCATTTCAACTCTTTTAGTGTAGAAAACAAGGTTGCGAGTGATGAAGAAATACCACTATCCTTAATATTTTTACACGAGACTACTCTAAGGCATTCCAGCTCCTTCCAAGACTCAATTACGGACTCCAAACCTTCTGTTGTAAGCAATGAGCATCCTTCTACGTAAAACAACTTTACCCGCCTGAAAATAAACCAACAACAACCATAATGTAACTTAGAAATAACCCATAATGTAATTGCCATTTGGCAACACATCCATATAACTTGTCAACTAAGGATACCATAGCATAATCAACCACCTTTAAACAGATAAATAATAAAGGTATTAGAAGTATACCGTCAAATGATAGTACAACAAACTATACGTTTTTAATACACAACATCCCCAATTGAAGATAAAAAACATGGCAAATGTCAAAATATAACATTCCAACACCTGGACCACACTGAACCCAAAAGTTATTGATGACTTATTTTCAACTTTATAAACTTTAAGATTTCTCTCCACACCTGCAAACCAGATTGCAAGGGCATATGATGTGGGAAACAACTTTGTACCTACATTCTGCATGCTACGCAAATTTCATGGATTTAACTTCATTAAAATAAAAATAAAATAAAATGTGAAGGTAAAAGTATATCCAATTTAATTGAAAACAAGTTAATTTTACAAAGTATTTTAATTCAAATCAAGGCCAATATATCTTTACTTTCTCATTCTTTAGAATACCAAATTTCAATGCATTGTTTGGTTCAAAAGAAGGAAGGGATGAGATTTAATGGAGGAAAAGAACACCCTATTGGATTCACCAGGAAGAGAGAAGAAAAATAAACATATTTATTATTATATACCTAGGATGATCAAATAAAGCTATTAAATTAAAAATAATTGTATTCAATTAGTCTAAAAATTTCCTTCTAATTTTAGTCTAATTGATTTTGGAGAAATTTTAGACTCCTCTTATCCCCACTAAAATCTTGAACAAAACTATACAAATTTCAACTGCACATTACAAATTCAAACTCTCACAGTAACAATCAACCAAAAAAAAAGAGTCCCACATTAATAACCAGCAAACAATCGCCAAAATTTTATCCCCCTCTCCTCTCTAAAATTTCAAACCAAACATAAAAAATTTATAAAATTCTTCCCCCCCCCCCCCTTCCCCTCTAATTTCACCACATACCAATTCTAATTACACATTAAAAATTCAAATTACAGCAACAACAAAGTCTTATCCCGTTAAATTAGTCCAATTACATGGATCACAGGACACGCTTCAGTCAAAAACCACATCACAAATTCAAATTAACCAAAAAAAAGAAAAAAGAAACACATTAATAATGAATTACCTGCAAATAACCGCCAAACTGAAAACAGCATCATCCAAGCCCCAACAATCCTGAAGAACAATCTCCTTAGCATTCCTACAAACTCTCCACAACGCTCCCACCCCATTCCTATCCCTCAACTGACACTTCTCCAAATTCAACCTCTGAAGCGCCACGCAGCACCCCAAATGCTCCTCCAACCCTGGATTCCCATCAATCACCTTACACGACTCTAACCTCAACGCCTTCAAATTCTCACAAAACGACACCGCCGCTAACCACCCATCATCCATCCTATGATCCACAAAACTCAACTCCTCCAACATCACACAACACTTCCCAATCGCTTTCACCCCATCGAAACTCCCCTCACACCCACACAGCTCCAACTTCACCAACCTCTTACAACCTTGGGCCAGAATCGTAAGCCCAATATCCGATACCGATGATTCATAAAACCCTTCAACACTCCCAATTACTCTCAACACCTGCAAATTCCCACACCCTGCAACACCGCGCAAAACGGCGTCGTTGCACTTCTGCAACTCCAGTTCCTGCAACGTCGCACATTCTTCCCCAACTGTTAATAGCCCTACCTCGCTGGCACCGGCTACCTCAAGTTTCCGTAAGTTGGGGCACCCGCTCGCCAGGGATTTCAGCGCCAGGTCAACCGTTTCGGAAGGTAGCAGGTTTTCCTTGCCGAAACACCATGAGGAGTCAACGTGCAGCGAGATGACTCGGTGATTCAGTAAAATGCTCGAGTTTTGGGGGGAAGTGAAAGATGCGGGAACCAAATCGACGTGGTTGAGATTGGGGAATCGGTGGATTAACCTTCCAGAGAGGATGAAGTTGGGGTCCAATACCCTAAGGGAACGAACCAACCTTCCTTGGAGGTTCAACCATCGTTTGCAAACGAGGGAATTGGAGTTTCGCTGGGAAATTGGGAGCTTGGAGAGGATTGTGAGGAGGAGCTGGTCGGAGAGGAGGAGGGTGGGATCGATAGGGGTGGAATTGGGGGTTAGGGTTTTGGATTTGGGGTCGGTGAGGTGGTGCATGGCGAGGAGCATGTGGTTGAGGGGCTGGGGGAGGTAGGTGTTTAATGGTGGAGTGAGGTTAGGGTTGGCGTGAAACGACATAGTTTGGGGGAATATGAGTGTTTTGTTGTGGTTGGCATTGGCGTTGGGGAGTGCATGAAGTGAAGCAGTCTCTTTTGCTTTGTTCTGAGGAATTCCAATTGCAGCGTTTGGAGGTATCTCTATCTCTCTATCTAACATCCAAATCGTGGGTCTCCATTTTTTTATTATTTTCCAATCATTTTTTCGCTTTTTGTTTTCTTCTCAGTTGTTTCCCTCTCCCACCGCTTCCTCTTGGACCATCCCTTCAAATCACTTTTCCAATCATTTTTATCTTTTAATAACATACCTTTTAGAAAATTTTAGTGAACCTTTTTATTGCCTTTTTTTATGTGTTTAAGATACTCCATTAAATTTTTTAATAAATAATATCTTTTATTAAACGTTATAGTGTTTAATGTTGATAATGTATTAGATTTTATAATTTATATAAATTTATTATATATAAAATTTTATGTGTATTCTTAAATGCTAGTGTAAAAAATTATCTTGTTATATGGTATTTGATAACTTTTATGAAGTATTTATTTTTTCAATTTTTCATTAATAAATAGAATTAGTAAAAATATAAATTAAAATTATAAGATAGATCTTGATATGTTTAAATCAATTGATAAATTGATCAAGATCTTCTTAAACTACTACTACTGTAACTCTAAAAACGTAAATCAAATGATAGATAGAGTAAGATTTTCTTACGCTAGTATAACTCTAAAAATATTTATATTTGATCTGAATTTTTCATTTAATCTATATCTAACGGTCAGTAAAGTAATAATATAATATGGAATGTTCTAATTTAATTTATGCTTTTTAAATTAAATTTAACAACATTAAATATTTTTATAAAAATTTATTACTAATATAAACTTTCATTTTTATATGATATAAATATTTACTCTTAAATTTAAATATTATTATTTAATCTATTTATGTTAAAATTTTGATGTGATTTAATCATTGATATATTTTATATAAAGTATTTATTTCTAATATAAAAATAAAAAATTTTAAAATTTATTTACACTAGATATTAAACTTAAATATTTACATATCTTAATAATTTTTCATATAATACAATATTAATTAATCTAATTAATGATTTGAAAGTAAAAATTAAGTATATCAACTTTATAAAAATTTTATATGAAAATAAAATTTTATTGCATTACTTTATTTTAATATTTATTATATTTTTAAAATATAAGTAAATATTAACTATTAATAAAAGTAATTAAAAGATATAAATATTTAAATTTGATGAGTCTTTATATATATATATATATATATATATATATTAAAAATGTGTTTATTCATACATTGCAGAAAATAATACACCTTAACTATTTTATTATAAATCGTTAATTTTAATTGAAAGATAGCAATAGAAGCCATGCATTCTTGAAAAGTCACGAGTTTTAAAATTAATCTATTTTTTTTACATTGAAAATATTTAACTATGTCATTTTACTATGTTTAAATTTTTTTAAAAGTCATCCGCAATATCAAATATGTTATAAACTCTCAACTTTAATTGAAAGAAAACACTAGAACAAGCTGATGTATTATCTTAAGCCAAAAATATTCAACGAAATCCAAAGATTGCTAATTAAATTCAAACTAATGTAAATAGAGATCTAAAACAGACTATTAATGAGAAATTAAGTTATTAGAAATAAGAATGTCTAAAATTTATTGATTTCCTAAACTTTTAACAATGACACCACTTTGAAATATAGATGTGCAATTATGTAACTTTTTGTTAAATGAGTAAGTGGGTTAAAGAAATTTAAAGTTATGTTAAAAATATATAACAAAAATACAACAAACAACTTTTTAGAGAATCATTTGAACAAACATAAAGGTAACTTAAATGCACCTTTATATATATATATATATATATATATATATATATATATATTGTCACTTGATGAGCAAAAGGATAGCGGCTTTAAAAAATAGGATTTTAATTTGAAAAAATGTGGAGTCGTTACCAAAATTTTATTTATTTTTACAAAGACAAAATATTGGAAAAAAAATCCTTAAGAATTTCAAGTTTAAGAGTTAGTTACGAATAGGAAAGGTATTAGCACCTCTATTAATCCATTCAAATGAACGGTACTTCAAAATTAAATAGTGTGAAACAATTTTAAACATTGAACTTATATATTTATTTTTTATTTGTCTATTTTCTATTTTCTATCATTTTTTAATTTTTTAAAATGTGTCTCAAGTATAAGTTGTTATGAGGCAAAATCAGATTTGAGATCTCAAGAGAATCCTTGATCTTAAATCATATTTTATTTAGAAAATAAAATAATTTTGTAAAAAATTTATTTTATTTTTATTTGAAAGGTAACAAAGTCTTAACAACTTGAAAACAAATTTTTATTTTTTTGGAAAAGAAAATTTTATATTTTATTTTAAAAAAAAAGGAGCTAAACAAGAAAAACTATATTTTGAAAGTTATTTAACATTCTAAAAAATTTTTATTTCTATTTTGAAAGATTTAACTTAAAAATTTAAAAATTACTTTATTTATTTTTTTATTTTTACTAAAAATATTTTTTATTTTTTGATTGATTTAACAAAAAAAACTAATCTTTATATTTTATTAAAAATGATAAATAGGATGCTTAATCAAAAAATATTTTTTTTATTTTATATATGTTTTTAGCACAATGGAGTGATGCTTGAGGAAGAAGAAACATAAAAAAAAGGAAAAATACATAAATAAGAGGAAAGGAAGAAAAACCACATAAAAAGAAAAGTGCTAAAACAAAGAGAGAAAAAAAGAATAAAATAAAGAAAGACAAAGAAAAGAAACAATGTGATACGATATTAGTGCATGCTTCATGAAAGACAGACACATAGGGAGGAGTCAAAAGTCGTATATTTTTCTTGCAATATCTTCGTCTTTTGTTTTGTATATATCGTGTGAAGAATTCTATGCAAAAATTCTCTTCAAGAAATACCCTATGAAAAGTCCTCTCTTCAAAATTCTTTCCCATAAAAGAAATCTGTGTAAAATTTCTCCGTATAAAAAATCCATGTCTTTATATGTGCAAGTTAGTCACTATTTATAATAGGATTAGTACCTAATAAAAGGAAATAAAGTATATTTTTTACACCTTGATTATTTTTATTTTATTTTATACATTCCTAAATTAACTAAAATTAAAATGAAAACAATGATTATTATTTACATAATATCTTTATGATTTTTATTGATTATATGTCTTTCTTAATTTTTCTTTTTATTTTTTTTTTATAATTCATCATTTATTATTTAATAAAATGTGTGACTGGACAAAAATCAGTGTTCACAGATTGCCCCTCTTTACTTGTTTTTTACTAGATAATATGAAAATCCATAGATTTCATAATATCGTAGTAAGAAACGAGTAAAGAAGTGAACCAATTTTCGTCGGGAACACCAAAAGGAGACTAAACTCATAGCATAATAATATCAGAGTGGGGAGGTAATATCAACACAGAAAGATACCATTAGGAAAGAAAAAATAACGTCAGAGCAGATAAATAACATCATTGTAGGAAAAGAAACATTGGTGAAGAAAAATAACATCATTGCAAAAAAATAACATTGGTGCATAAAAATAACATCATTGTAGGAAAAATAACACCGGTGCAGAAAAATAGCATAATTACAGAAAAAATAACATCATTGCAAGAAAAATAACATCGGTGCAGGAAAAATAACATCAGTGCAGAAAAATAACATCATTGCAAAAAAAATAACATCGGTGCAGAAGAATAACATCAATGCAGGAAATAACATTGGTGCAGGAAAAATAACATCAGTGCAAGAAAAATAACATCGGTGCAAGAAAAATAACATCGTTGCAGAAAAAGTAACATCGGTGCGAGAAAAATAACATCAGGGCAAGAAAAATAACATCGATGCAAGAAAAATAGCATTAGTGCAAAAAAAAATAAAAATATCATTGTAGGAAAAATAACATTATTGCAGGAGAAATAACATGAAAGTAGTGAGAATGATATCAGAGAATAGAAAATGATATCCTAGCAGAACTTTTACTTTACTCTTGCATGAAATATGATCTCAAAGATAACCAAATAGTCATTCCTTTCCATTAAGAAAACCTAGATCATTAATTGATCCCCAATCGCTGCTTTATTCGAATATTTTGAGATTGGGACTCTTGAGCACCTTGCTTCTTTGTTTTCAACTTTTGATTCAGGCTAACTTCAAAACATCTATATGGAAGGAAAGATTTCGCATCTCTCATTGTTGAAACAATGGAAATTTGTCTCATCACATATAATTTATCATCATTGTAATTATTATGCAAAAAATCATTTCATTTTTTTAGTTTTTTATTTTTTATTTTTTACATTTTAGATATCAACTCATGCATGTCTAAAGGTAAGGAGATAAGATCAAGGATGGAGATTCGAACAAATTTTATTAAGAATGAGTGAGAATTAGAATGTCAAGAAGAGGTATATGAAAAAGTTTCGATTGGGAGAAAGACATTGCTAAGAAAGCAGTTAAGTAATAGTTCTGAGTAGTAGTCCTCTTGCAGCAGGTAACACAATTTACACATGTCAATGACTTTGGCTATAACTGCAATCCATCTTTTGAATAAGCGAACCGCTACTTCCAAGGTGATGATGCCATGCGCCAATTCAATACTTCAAATTGCCCTGATTTGCCATTTTTGCCAAGATCGTCTTTTAGGTTTTTAGCCTAGCCAGCTTCCCTTCTCTCTTTTTAATTTTTTTCAAATTGTCCTGATTTGACCGTGCCACTTTAGCCAAGACCACCTTTTTGGGCTTTTAGCCTTGCTAGCTTCGCTCTCTTCCCCCTCTTTTTAAAAAAAAAAATCCTAACTTTTACCTAAGCTGCCCTTTCGAGTTTTCAACTTAGCAAGCCTCTTTTTATTTTTAGACCCTAATTTTTGCCTAGACCGCCCCTTTGGGTTTTTAGTCTATCGGGCCTTTTATTTTTCATTTTTTATTTTAAACCCTAATTTTTCCTTAAGCTGCCCTTTTGGGTTTTTTGACTTAGTGGGCCCTTTTTTTGGGTAATATATTTTTTCTTTTTTTTATTTTATTTTACAGC